GACTGTTGTAGGCTTTACTGCATGTCACTTAAGAAAACAAACCTCACTGCCATCTAGTCAATTCCGACTCAGATCGACCCTGTAGGATACAGAGACGGCAGGAATGCCCTGTTGGGTTTCTTAGGCTGTGAATCTTTATGGGAGCAGAAAGCTGCTGCTTGTAGTTTTGAACTGCTGACTTTGTATTTATCCACACTTACTACATCTGGCATTTTTTATTCCTTTGCAAACATCAGATTTCTTCTTTATAGTTTGTATAGTTCACATTTGCTAGCTGTGAAGTATTTTAGCCTTTTATTTATTTTCCCCTTAAACTATTTTATGTTATAGTCATCTTCTTTCTGCACTTGGTCTTTTCTCTGTTTACTTTTAAGACTTCCAAAATGTGATTGTTTGGTTGGGATAGTAATTGGTATGGCTTTTGGCTTTTGTGTTCTCTTATCCTACTTATATTCACTGAACTTCATTTGTGGGCTCTTGTCATTCAAATATATATAATTTTGGCGTTTAATACTTCATTTTTCTCCCCTATACCTTCTCCCACTCTCTTACTTGTTTGTGATTTCAATTACATGAATGTTCAACTATTTGCTTTGGACAAGCCACTGAAGTTTTGTTCATTTTTTACCACCTGAGGTTTTTGTATTAACTTCATTTGGATACATCCTATTACTCTGCCTCCAAGTCCATGGATCTTTTCTCCTGCACTGTCTAATCCATCCCTAATTCCATCCAGTGAGGTTTTCACTCTATACGCTAGCAGTGAACAATCCAAAAACAAAAGACAGAATGCAGTGGTATTTGCATTAGTTATGAAGAATCCAGCTACAGGTCTTTCAACGAGCAGCCAGGTACTTTGAGCACCAGGGGTCCTTTTGTCATCATCAGTGAGTGATCCAGATGAGTAAGGTACCGGAGGGATGACATTTAGCAAACGTGCAAAACCTTGGATCATGTTTTCTTTGGAACTCCTCTCTGATTCTTTTTTGATGTCTTTTGTTCTCCCTGTGTGAATGCCTTTAGTTAAATATTTCTACTTAGGTAAAATAGCTGTGTAAAATTCTTGTTGTTAATCACCTTTTTCCATCTGTGACTCAGTTTCTATTGACCAGTTTTTGAAATAATTTTAAGTCATGCTTCTTTTTTCTCATGCCCAGCAGGACACAAGACGTTCTGTTCCCGGCAGAGTTACATAAGGTCTTGGAAACCCACTGGGATGGTTCTGCCCTGGAGGGTCACTGTGAGTCAGAATTGACTGGTGGCAGTGAGTTTGGGGTTTTTTTGACGAGAAGTACTAGGTGCTTGATCGACTGCAGGGCAATGAGTGTTTGAGTAGGTTTTGTTTGGATACTTAGATTTTGTTACCTTTCGTTAGAGTGGAGGATTTAGCTTTGATAACAGGAAGACATTTATGGATCAACTTGATCTCCTCAAGGAACGTATTCAGGCTTTGAAAGAAGTGTTCCGGATAGCCTTTATTTTGTATATTGTTCAGCTCTCTGTTTAGCTCCAAATGCTTGCTCGCAAGGTGCCCTTAGCCTGGTGGTCGGAGCTGGAATGTCTCTTTACCCTGTGAGTGCTGTAGGAATCATTCCGTTTACGACTGCATGTTGTTTGTCTGTGTAGCATACTTCTTCGAGGGAACTCCTGTGCAGATATCTAGAGCTCCTCACTCTAAAGGTTTCTCTTTAGGACTCTGCCCCGTGACTTCCCGTTGCGTGGACCTCCTCAGTCTTACATTTCTGTCCTCACCTCACCTTTCCCTGTAGCTTCCGTCAGCATCACACCCCCATGCAGAAAGCTAGGGCCATCTTATGCTTTCCGTTCTCTCAGAAATCTCTGCCCTGTGTTTGAAAACAACTTTTGTATGTGTTGATTAGATTTCTAGTTGTGTATCAAGGTAGGCTAAGTGTGGTTGTTTTATCTCTGTCAGGGCAGGAAGTATAAAGCCTATAGAACCCTTCCAATTATATAAGGAATTGTAATATAAACTAAAATCATTTATAGGTAGGAGTCATTGGATAGTGCAATCAGTTAAGCTCCCGCCTACTGACTGAAAGGTTAGTGTTTTAAATCCACCCAGAGGCATATTGGGAGAAAAGTATAACAATCTGCTTGGAAAGGTCACAGCCATTGAATAGACAACCTGCTGCTTGGTTCTACAGGAGTCTCCGTGAGTCAGGATTGATTTGATGCCTATAGTTGTTGGGTTTTTATGTCTATCTGTTGAATAACCAAGGAAAGGGTGCCCATGTAAATTTATGGGTTTTCAGATATTTTTTAAAATCAGCTTATTATTACACATACAGGTTGTAAAGAAATGTGGTACTGCACTAGAGCTTATTCTTTGCTCAGTAAGCAGCATGTCCCTGTTGTCTTTGGCCTGCTTACCCATCCCAAGCCCGCTGTCCTTGAATTGTTTCTGGTTCAGCCTGAACCTATAGGTCAGGGTACATTTCCTCATCGGAATGTATTTCCAAGGCTGTAAATCTTTATGGAAGCTGACTGCCATATTTTTCTCTCATGAAGTGAATGGTGGATTTGAACTGCTGACCTTTCAATTAGCAGCCAAGTGCTTTTAATCTCTACATCATCATCAAAAGGGCTCCTTTTGCCTTACAATTCTTTATATAATGTCCATAAACTGCATAATAGCTTTCCTATAATGTTGATGATGTTTTGGTGTATGCCTGGAAGTACATATGGTGATACTTTAGTATTATTTTTCCGTAATATTTTGTAAACATTTTTCATAATGATAATTGTTTAAAATGCACAAAACCTAAAATTGTGTTATACATCTAGTGCTTAAGGGATACTGTATTGATACCTGTAAGAGCTACCAATAAAGTGATTAATACAAAAGGGTAATAATTTATTAGCGTTTCAAAAGCAAAGTATAGAAGAGGACTACATGGCAAAAAGGAATCCTTCTGAAGAACTTGATATCAGAAAGTGCATTTACTAAGATTTTCCCCTATGATTTTATAATACATTAGTAGCTCTTTAATCCTAAAATTAATAGTTAGCAGGTATATACTATGATTAGGGAGCTTTTAGAAGTTTATTTTTATTTCAGAACCAAAACAAAAATTTAAACATATTGTTTTATAGAACTTAGACTATAGTAAGAAGATTTTACTATAATTGAAATTGATAGTTTATAATATGAATGTAAGTTTCATTATAAACTATATCAATTAGAACTATCCATATGTTTAGTATGTGTTTGTTATTAGATTATATATACAAATGTTTTATTTTAAAGATAATTTCGAGGTTTGAATATTAATAATCAGATGACATTTGTCAGGCTGTTACTTTAATATATATCATAATGAAATTTTTATTACCAAAATTTTTTATCTTGGAGTTAATTTCTTGTGGAGACTGGTTTTTTTTTTTAATCATTCTGTTGAGGCTCGTACAACCCTTATCACAATCCATACATCCATCCATTGTACTTATTTTGCCATCATCATTCTCAAAACATTTGCTTTCTACTTGAGCCCTTGGTATCAGCTTCTCATTTTTTCCCCTCCCTACCTTCTCCCACTTCCCTCATGAACCCTTGATAATTTATAAATTATTATTATTTTGTCATATCTTACACTGTCCAATGTCTCCCTTCACCCACTTTTCTGTTGTCCATCCCTCAGGGAGTAGATTATATGTAGATCCTTGTAATCCATTCCCCCTTTCCACCCCACCCTCCCTCCACCCTCCCAGTATCCCCACTCTCACCACTGGTCCTGAAGGGATCATCTGTCCTGGATTCCCTGTATTTCCAGTAGATTGATGTATATATATTTAAAGGTTTTATGTTAGGGAAACAGATGGACAGTGGGCCCCTGCTCAAGTACTCCCTCAACACAAGAACACTTTGTTCTAACAATTCAGCAGTCTGAGATGCTTACCTTCCTGGCACGATCGCTGAAGACAATGGGTGCTCAAGCAAATGTGGTGAAAAAAGCTGATGGTGCCCAGCTACCAGAAGATATAGCATCTGAAGGCTTAAAGGTCTGAAGATAAACAAGCGGCCATCTAGCTGAGAAACAACAAAACCCACATGGAAGAAGTACACCAACCTGTCCTGACTCAATTGCTGAGGACAAAGCGGGTGCATAAGCAAAAGTGGTGAAGAAAGTTGAGGGTGCTGGCTATCAAAAGATATAGCATCTGGGGTCTTAAAGGCTTGAAGATACACAGGTGGCCATTTAGCTAAGAAACAATAAAGCGCACACGGAAGAAGCACACCAGCCTACCCCGACATGATCACTGAAGACAAAGCAGGTGCATAAGCAAAGGAGGTGAAGAAAGCTGACGGTGCCCAGCTGTCAAAAGATATAGAATATGGGGCCCTGTAGGCTGGAAGATAAACGGGGCCATCTAACCGAGAAACAACAAAGCCCACAAGGTGTCGAAGCGATCAGATATCAGGTATCAAACACCACCACCAACAAAAAATCATAGCATTGTGAATGTGGGGGGAGTGCAGAGTGGGGACCCAGGGCCCATCTGTGGGAAATTGGACATCTCCTTGCAGAAGGGCCGCGGGGAGGAGACGAGCCAGTCAGGGTGCAATGTAGCAGCAATGAAATATAAAATTTTCCGCTAGTTCTTGAATGTTTCCCCCCACCCACCCACCCACTATCATGATCCCAATTCTACCTTACAAATCCACCGGGACCGGAGGATGTACACAGACTGTTTTTATTATTATTTTTAACTGTTCTGTAGGGACACAGTTTGAATTGTGTTTCTGAAAATTGCATGAAAACGCGTGTTTTGGGAGGGGTGTGTGGGTAGGGATAGCCTTTGCGTAGTTACAGAAATTAGGGATCAAATGTCTTAGGGAATTTAAATTAATTTGAAGTAGGGTGTTGTTGTTTTTTGTTCTCCCTTGTAAAAATCTACTAAAGGAAGTGAATTTCTGGTGAGTTCCACATGTACATATATTTTATTGTGTACTTTGTTTTAATGACTCCCTTTTCTCACAGAGCTTGTCAAAACATAGTAGAAGCAATATTGGAACTGAAGGTGGACCACCTCCGTTTGTGCCTTTTGGACAGGTAATGACTTTTATATTGAGAGATGAATTTAATTTTTAAAAGTTTTTCATTAGTATTCAACCTGTGATTAGTTTTGCGCTAGAGTCTTGGGAGTTATCTGGCAATATATTAAGTATCAGGAATATAATAATTGTTTTGTTATTTGACTGTAATTAATTATTGGTGTAGATTTTTCTCAAGAGCTATTGACTGAAAGATTGAGGCAATTAAGAGCCACACTGAAGAGCAATTTTCAACCAATTAAGACAGCATGCCGAGACTGAGAGAGAAATCCAAAAGTGTAACAGCTAAACCGGGCTGTAGTTTCTCATTTTGTGAAGTAAAAACAAAAGAGGGAGAGACAGGAAAAGTGGCATAGAAGGCTAAGACTTAACAGGCAAAGTCAAAGGACTATTACAACAGCATCATACCCTTAATTACATAGAAATATCCCACTGTCATGCTATTTTTTCTCCCTATATTCTTCATCTCAGTCTGCCGACGTTTGAGAGCATTTTTCTGTCTCTTCCGTTCTTCCCTGAAGAGTTCTGCACTCTTCCGTTTTACACAGCCAGATGGTGACTTGTGACCACAAAGAGTCTCCAGTTGTCTTCCTTTGAGTTTGGGGAGCAAAGAGAAGGCTGAAGGGGCAGGAGGGAATTCTGGTCGCACAGCCCTTGCCGTGCAGGAGCACTGTTGTGATGAGGACAATAAGACAAAGGAAATCTCAGCACTGCTCCCTTGGCTGTTTTCTCATCAATTCATTTTTCAATTTTCTAAAAATTCTATAAAAAGACCCCATGATTATGCTACGTCCTTTGAGAAAAGCTATCAAAATTACCCCTTTACCATCTTAAGGAGCGATTGCTGTGACCTTCGGGGCTGTCTTGAACTGAGCTGGCCCAGCAGATCCCCTCGAAAGCCACTGTTTTGTTGGATCTTTTGCTTAATGTTTGAAGGCACTCCCATGAGTTACTGACGGAACATGTCTGTTGCCAGGCACCAATCACAGAGACCTATTTATATGCTCCCCCTTAAGTACGCCTGTACCTTACGAGTTGAAACCTAGTAGCCAGTCCTTTTGATGAGCTCTCCTCGACACTGATCCCTAGTTGCAACGGCTTTTCACCGACCCTGTAAAGGTGAGAATAAGGACGTAGCATGGAACAAAGGTGAACGTAAAGATGAAGAAGGATGGCGCGTTGGGGCCTGCTGACCCAGCTGTTCTTCTAACTTGGATCTTCTCTCCTGATTTCAATACTCTTCTCAGTCAGGAACTTAATTTCATTACCAGTTAGCATTTCCAGTTCAATGACAGCAACACAGCACACAGACAACCACAGCCTCGATTCTTCTCCCACGTAATGTTTTCTGCCCACTTATTCCCCATTTTTCACCTCCTCAGCTGACCAGTGTCTTCTGTTTTCTTGTTTTTGATCAGCATCAGCTTTCATCCGCAGCAATTTCTTCCAGACCTCCCTTTATCTCTAAAGAGTCTCAGTATGATCCCTGAAGCTGCTTACTCGTTGCCTCACGTAGGTCACCAAAATCTAGTTATTTGGTAATGTGTCTTGCATTTGTCCTCTATTTTCTTTCAAAAGCCACTCAGAGTGGTTATGTGGTAGGGATGTAACAGGTTGGAAATTAAGCCTCATATGCTGGGTCCCGAATGGTCTGCAATTCTAAACCTCTAGCAGCTCCTCGGGAGAAAAACTGAGTTCTCTATTCCTGTAAACAGTTAAAGTCTCGGAAACCCACGGGGGGTTGCTATGAGTCAGCATTGACTGGATGGCAGTGCTTTGGGTTTGATATCTCTGTATAGCTTTTACTTTTCTTTAGTAACTGATATATAAGTTGCTGAGATGACCAGCAGGCAGCATCAGTTGATTGAACTTAAAAAAACTTTGGTAGTGTGTATATAATTGTAATTTAAGGTTATAATTGCATTGTAGCTATTTGGAAAGTATTTTTAAAAATATGCCGATTTTCACCGGATTTTAGGATAAAGGATAGTCAAGATAAAAAGATAGTCTGATCCATGTTGATATTCTCCCGTATCTGAGTGTAATGAAAACCCTAAACTTAGTAGAAAAATTCTATTAACATATATTGGAGAAATAATGAATGATCCCTTTTTAGGAAAGTAATTTCCCATTAAACAATTTAATGATAGTTCTTTTTCATAGATGTCTTTATTTAATAAACTTTCTGTCCCACAAAATATTGTGATCTAATTATTTTCAAGATTTTTGAAATGTTCTTTTAGGGCTTACGATGTTTAGAAAAGATGTAGTTCAGTAGTATTACTTGTTTATAATGCCCATTCTGAAAAATTCCTGTTCAGCCAGTCTCTGCCTTGAATATGGGTTAGTTAGAAATAATGATGGTTGAATCAATAGGAAGGATATCTTTACGTTGTTGAGAATGTACTATAGTGAAGCCTGCAAAAGCCAGAAGCTGTAAAATGGAAGCCTATTAGAGAAAGGCAGCACCAATATTTTCCACTAATGGAGAGTGAAAGAAACGTGGTAAGCTTATACCCTATCACAGATGGAAACTTAGGGCACCCAGAAAAACAAGGCAGTTCTATCGAGATCCGCCTCTCACAGGTTTTGCTATTTATTTGGATAGCATGCTAATTTGGGAAGATGGCCTTCTGTTACTAAGTTAATGAGTTGAGATTTTAACTTCTTGGATTAGAATCGAGACCTTATTTTTAGCAATAATGCCTCACTGATCGAGTTAATTCCAACTGTTAGCAACCTTGTGTAGGATTTCTGAGACTAAATCTTAAAAGAAGTGGGCAGCCTCATCTTTCTGTCATGGAGTAACTAACTGGTGGATTGCATAGCCAACATGTGGTTAGCAATCCACCACTTGACCCATAGTGTCACCAGAAACCCTTCCGAAAAACACCTCCCTACCATTGAGTCGATGCCAACTCACAGTGGCCATTGAGGACAGGGTAGAACTGGCCCTGTGAATTTCCGAAACTGCGACTCTGGGGAGCAGCTGGGGGTTTCTCACTGTAGACCTTGAGATCACTGTCCAACACATGACTGCGTCACCACCAGGTTTCCATGACAACGCCAGCAGCAATCTGGAACTGATGTTATGGGATTAAAAGCAAAATCCATTGCAGCCTGATAGGGAGAGGGCTTATTTTTAACTTTTTCTCTTACAAGCTGAGGCAAATCCTTTTAATTACTAAAACAACTATACTCTCCAGCCCTCATATAGGGTGGAAATTAGGCGTTTAATTAAAAGACTGCATTTACCTCTTCTTATGGGCTATTATATATTGTTTAAAATCTAAAATTATTCGAAGTCATTTTACCCTAAAATGAAACTTTAAACATTTAGCTAGATATGTACTTTTAACCTATATCTGCTTTTAGATGGTCATGTTTTTGTATAGCTGTAATTGTATTTGACAGCTATATTTGTTTTATTTGTATTAATCCTTTTCCCATTATTTTAAAATCTCTGGGGTGTATTTGAACTTTTGGTGAGTTCTGAGTTGTTGTAAGAGGGATAAGCATTTCTTTTTACAAATAATGCTTTTTAGTAGAAAACACAAATCTTTTTGGAGCTGCTGAATTGATTTATTTTTACTTATTATGTCCAGAAGTGTGTATCTCATGCCCAAGTGGATAGCAGAGAACTTGATCGAAGGAAGACACTGCAAGTTACGATGCCTGCCAAGCCTTCCAACGATAACGATGAGTTCGAAAAGCAGAGGACAGCTGCGATTGCAGAAGTGGCTAAGAGCAAGGAAGTAGGGAATGTAATCACTGCGCGCCTCTCTTTCCTCTTCCAAGTGTGAACGCTGAGATGCCTGACCATTGTCATTTTCTTTTCACATAACACTGTCAGCAACCCCTTGGCACTTTTCTTCTTGCATGCGCCATAGTTAGAAAATGCCCTCCCACCTTGGATCATAAGCTTACATATTTTCTTGGATGTTCTTTTTCTCAATCACCTGGGCAATTCCAGGAAGGCACTCTTGCAAATAATGTACCCTCTGTGCTATCCTCTTCCCTTTCTTCTTCGTGATGTAAGAGTTGCGTGCTTTATTCTGGCAGAAGGTTTCCCAGCACTGCGTGTGCTAAGTTCCCCCGTTTCAGGGTAACTTCTCCCTGGAGTAAGAGTTCTGAGTACTAGAAGAGTGTAAACTGGTGGTTCAGGTTTGACATTTCTACCAGTTTTTGTTCTTAATTCCATTTAGTATAGAGTGAAAAATAACTTTTTAGTTTCTGAATTACTGGTTTCCTTCATTATCCAAGAGTAGAGCATTTCTACAGAACCTTTCATAAGTCAAGTGGTGTAAAACAAAGAACCAATGACCAGTACTTTGTATGGGAACAATTTTTACATGTTCTCAGACCCTCAGAATCGCTTACGAAAACATACCCAGTGGCATGTACCATCTGAAACAGCGCTAACATAACCAGTCAGTGCACTGTTGAAAGCTGCGGCCGCATGGTGCAGAGGTGCTGAGTGGAGACCCGGGGCAGGAGCTTGCTGCTGCACTGCCGGCACAGCTCCTGATGGCCGGCGTGCCCGCTGCCTCCTCAGGGGCTTGATGCAAAAAAGGTTTTCTTTTCTTTTTTGTAAAAGTGAAAATCCATTTCCATTTTCTTTCAGATAGCCAGAGTAGGCATTAATGGAGGTCTTTCATAAATCAAAATGATGTCAAGTAAACTTTAAAAAAGCTAGGATACCTATGCAAGTGTTTTTATATGCACACACATGCACATACAAAACACATCAAATACTAATACTAGAAAAACCTGTTCCATATTAGCAGGAAATACAAAATTAACAAGAAAGCCATTTGGCTGTTTTCTCCAGTTATTTATAGATTTTTAGTATTTGAGAAGATATTTTAGCATATTCAGTTTTCCTCCACACACATTTCATAACTACTAAGAGTGAAATACAATTTTCTTGATTCAGAATCCCTATCGACGCTTAGTAAACAGCTGCTTTCCCACTGAAATTTGCAGTTTCCGTTGGAGATTTCTTGAAGTTGGTGATCTTTCCTGTGGTGGGACCCATCTGTCATCAGGAACACAGGTTCTGGAGTCAGACTGCCTGGAAACACAAGGGAAAACCAGGAACAGTAGGGAAATCCTGTTGCCAACACGTCTGTTCCAGTTGATCATGCCCTCTTACCAGCCGCTAAGCCTGGATAGCTTACTTTGGCTTTTCCTGTTCTATTTTTCTTTTTCTGTAAAATGAAGTTTCAGTGGATCCACTTTATGTGATTGCTGCAAAATTATAATTGGTTGTCTTTATAGCACTGTCTGGTTTAAAACACTATCTGGTACAGGTGGTCACTCAAAGTTTACAAGAAATGGCTAGTATTTTTCAGTATGCGGTTACATTCCAAGGCACATTAAAAAAATTAGTTTTAATACTTATGAAAATAATGCCTTTCACACACACAGCTTGCAGTTAATGTGCTACCTCTTTGCCAAAAACCTCTTCAAGTTCTGATGTTTCAGAGTAAGGCTATTGGATATATATCAGTTTCTTACCTATTATTGAAAATTTGTTCTTGTGATTTACATTTGTTCCCTTTTGAACCCCACGGATAGCTGAACAAAGCCTGTCCCAGCCCTGGGCCACCCTCAGGATGATTGCTGTTGTGTCACTGTTACAGCCGCTGGGCGGCCCATCTCCTTGAGGGTTGTGCTGCAGTATAGTTAGCATCCTAGAATATGCTTCATTTTAAAAAAATCATAGTTGACCACAGCCAAGTGCATACACCTTTTCAGATGGTCAGTTCTGAAGTCCCAGAAAAGTGTGTGCAGGCAACTCAGAGATCCTTCAGTGACTCCAGTCCTGGAAGAGAGAGACTGGACTGAGAAGCTGCCAGGAGTTTGAGGATAATGATCACAATGAATGAATTGGAATGGCTATTTTCAGATGAAAACACAATTCAGTCTCTTCTGGGGACTTTTATTTGTTGACTTTAGAGACTGATTATCTAAAATTATGGTTTAGTTTTAAAGCTTCCATGAAAGCAAAAAAATAGAAACAACATCTTGTTCTTTTCACTTGAGGCCTAAGATGTGTTCTAAGAACATGCCGGCCCTTTTGCCACCATATTCTTTGATTTCAGCATGGCACCCCACTGATTCATAGTGGTGATACTTTGTCAGGAGGTTAGCAAAAGTTAAATATTGTATATCACTTTTGATCAATTTGTGAATACTTTTGGCTTAAATTTCAAGTAATATAAAATCAATATGTACCTTAAGTGAAGTTGCCAGGCAGCAAACTTACAAAACTAATGTGTGTTGGGGGCAGGGGATGGATAGCAGTTAATGGGTTGGCAAAAATGTATATGACACACATGTTATTTGCATAACAATATAGAATGCATTTGAGAGTTGTAGGCATATGAATAGTACTTAAAACTGAGACCAAATGAGATGCCCCAAAGAATGAGTGGCCATAGAGATGAGAAGGAGGTCAGGCACGAGCAGAGTGGCACTGCAAACCATACGCGAATGGATAGAAGTCGGACCAGCCAAGAAGTGACCAGTGAGAGAATATAAAAACGAAGTGAATGTATAAGCGTTTACCACAGAGAAGAGTGTAAAACTGGATCAAGGCTGATCTGGTGGGAAATCATGTCAGATGTGCACAGAAGATTAATGTACCTTTGGAGAAGTAATCCTGCGTTCCTCTGTACATTTCTATCAACATTCCCATCGGGATATGCAGAGGTCGGTGGGTATAAGAAAAAGACTTAAGTATGCAGTATCGTGGTGGATAGATGTGGTGAGAATCTGTGCAAGTTCCTTAATGATTCATTTTGTTTTCTCAGTGAGGAAGAAAGCAAGGCCATCAGTAACAATCCAGTGGCAGATGTTGGTTACTTGGGAGTGAGAAGAGCACACAGAGTAGCAGTCGTCTGAAAGATTGGGAGAATGGGCTAGGAAAGGATAGTGAGATGCCAGGCAACGTTAAGAACCCACAGCAATATCATGATCACCTTTTTTCACTGATTTAACACACCATTTGAAACTGTTCCTAGTACATAGTATACTAATTGTTGTTGTTGTGTTAGGTGCTATGAGTCAGTTCCCACTCTCACAGTGACCCTGTGTACTATAGAACCAAACACTGACTGACCCTGCCCCATCCTCACGATTGTTCTTCTGTTTGAGCCCATTGTTGCAGCCACTTTATCACTCCATAACTTTTCTATAAATACTTGCCAAGTGAATAGTTTAGGTTCATCGTTTGGTCCTGTGCAATGGAATCCATCAAATCCATATAACTTTTTAAATCAGTGGTCATGAAACACATTTTCAAAATAATTCCACTGTGATTTTGGTGTTCCGATGCCCAGATTAAAAATATTGTATGTCTTCCACCATATTACTTATAGATTTAGTCACAGAGCTATCAATGGGTGACCTTGTATGTTAGTCTGGGTCGACTATAGAAACAAATCCATAGAGACGCATATGTGTATAAGGAAGAGCTTTATATATAAGAACAGTTATATAACATCCCAGCCCAGTCCAGAACAAGTCCAATATTAGCCCATAAGTCCGATCCCAATCTGTAAAGTCCTCCTCAGATTCACGAAACACATGTAATAATGCCGAATGCAGGAAGATCACAGGCCACTGAGTGGGAAGTCTTGTGGACCCAGTGGTGGTGTAAGCATCTCAGCTCTGGCAGGGGTCTCCATGCTCCAGAGGTCTGGCTTCTTCAGCCTACCTTCATGTGTCTTTTCAATAGGGATGTTTCCCAGGGAGTGAGTGTGCCCAGAAGGAGAGAGAGAGAAAGACAGTCTCCCACCTCCAAGGAGGAAATAAAAGAGTTCCCAGAATTCTCAGGAGAAGGCCATGCCCACACAGCTGCCTCATTGGCTATATCCTGATTGACAGGCTAGACTCCACCTCTACCCTTAATCCTCCAATTGACACCAGATTATGTAACCACCACACCTTGGGCATGTTCATTTTATATCTTTAAGCCTCTGCCAACTTTCTAACATATAAATGGAAACACTGTTTTAGGTTGAAAAGATTGTGATTCTTTAATTGTCAAATATTTATGGCAAATAGAATGTGTGATCAAGTATGATTTTTAAAAATGAAATGTGTTACTGTGCGTGAACAGTTTTCCAGGAAAACTCTCAACAGTCTGGATTGGCACAATGACTACAACAAGGAACACACACGTAGCACCGGTTCTGAGGATGGTGCAGGACTGGGCAAGGCGTGGTTCTATTGTATGGAGGGTGGCAAGGACTTAGAATGAGTCTGACAGCAGCACCTCGCGAGCAACAACAAGAAGAAGAAATAACTAAACACAAAATTCTAAAGTAAAATGCCTGGATGGCATCAAAAAAGTTCATGAAAAAATTGTTTTAAAAACATCATGGGAATTTTCTCCAGATGTTTTGAAGCTCCTTATGTAAATCACACAGTATAATAAAAAGAAATGAGATGTCATTTGTAAAAAATAGCCTATGATGTAACTAATGAAAAAATAAAATAATAATGAGAGTTTCAATTAAATGTTAAATTTTATACTATTTTCTAATACTCATTCACTTTCTAAGATCAAAGAAGTATAATACTAGACTAGGGACACAGTTTAACTGATTGATGGGCGTAGAGCCTCTCTAAACATATCCTTTCTAGGCAGGTGGATCTCTGACCCAGATCTAATCACATCAACCAAATATTTTATCCTAGAATTATTTTGACAACTCATCTGCATGATACATTATTTTACTTTATTTTGTATTGTTTTATTCTTATTTACCTTAGGGGGCTTATAGATTTTTTTGCCTGTAATTTTCTTATTACTTGGCCTGAATTTGTGAACATAAAGGATTATGGCTGGTAGATACTTGTGCCGTGTAAAAAGAATATGCTAACATTTCATTGTAAGTTTTAGGAACCTTTTAATTACTATAGTTCTCCTAGATGCTTTTAGTGATAGCTCAATATTTAGGGCAATTTAAAATACAATTTACATCTACCACTTGTATCTTTCTCTTGTCTAAAGACCAAGACATTTGGAGGAGGAGGTGGTGGTGCCAGAAGTAATCTCAACATGAGCACTTGTGGGAACCGAAATCGGGAAGTTTCACAGAAAGAAAAGTCAGCCAAGCCTGAGGGGAGACCTGAAGGTGTCTACAGAGAACTGGTAAGGCTGAAGCCCTGTCCACACAGTTAGCGTTCTCTTGCTTTTATTGCCTTGATGCCTGTTACTCTTTTCCACAGTCCCCAATGACATCAGTAGATGTTACAACTCTAAAAAAGCCTTTTTAAAAAAAATAAGGATTGCAAGTCCCTCATGAAAACCTTGAATTGTTTGAAAAGTAATGTACTTAAAACTCCATTTCATTTAAATTTCTAATGTCTGAATAATGTTTTTTGGATTGGAGTCATGAAAAATGTATCAAATTTAATTGAAGATACTCAGTGGAAATTATATTCTAAAAGATGATTCATCAAAAACATAATAATTGTCAACTTCTCCAAAGCCCTTCACTGCCCTTCCCACATCTTTTTTCAGTTTTTGCTTAAAGTTTCATTTTTGTTGTTGTTGACTTTTTTGTTTTTTGGAGTTGAGGGGAATGGAAAAAATCGTATGGATGTTTGGGACTCATTTGCAAAATAAGTAGATTTTTCAAAAGAGAAATGGAGGAGTCAAAATTGATATGATGCACTGGTTAAGTGTTTGCCCTCAGGTTTATCAGAAACAAGACAAACTCATTTTCTTTATCCGTAAGAGGGTCACTAGAAGAACCCTGGTGGCATAGTAGTTTATGTGTTGAGCTACTAAACCCCCAGCTGCTCCTCGGGAGCAAGATGAGGCTACAGGCTCAGAAACCCACAGGGACAGTTTTGCTTTCTCCTTTCAGGGTCGCTGTGGGTCAGAATTGACTTGCTGTCAGTGAGCAATGGTCAAATGTCCAGATGATTTTGCCTATAACATAGATTTGTCATTGTTGTGGATTGATTTTTATGCCCCCAAATTATATATTGTAAAACCTAACTTCTATGCCTCCGGTTATATGTCTCCTATGGGAAGAGGTTGACTAGGTTCTGTCAATGCGACAGGGTTAGTGTAGTATGGGTTTGGAGGCCTTCTCTCTTCTAAGAGATAAAAAGAGCAGATCAGGACAAGCAAGCAAAAATGGGCAAAGATCAACACCACACCACACAGATATCTCTAAGGAATTAAGCACGAGAGACTGAAGAGGCAAGGACCATTCCTGAGAACTTACAGAGAGAATTCTCTTTGTATTTGTCTTGGCTGTTGTTAAGCGCTCTTAAGTTGGCTTTGACTCATAGCAACCATCCGTGCAATGAACAAAATGTTGCCTGGCACTGAGCCATCTGCACAATGGTTACTAGGTTTAGTCCGGTGTCATAACCACTGTAACACTCCATTTCATTAAGGAACCTCCTCTTTTTGCTGCCCCTCTACTCTCCCAAGCATGATGTCATGATGTAGGGACTGGCCCCTCCTTATAACATGTCCAAAGTACATGAGATGAAGTCTTTCCATCCTCCTTTCTAAGAAATGTCCTGCCAGTACTTATTCCAAGATAAATTTCTTTGTTCTGTTGACACTCTATGGTATATATCATATTGTTTGTGTGAACTCCTTAATGCAAAAGCAGCAGGTCTGTTAAAGCCACCAAGGTGTGGTATTTCTGTTCCAGCTGTAGCAGAGAAGACAGTCACTTTGTATAACCCAGAGGTAGGTGAGTACAAAGGTGGGTTGATGGCATGACAATGTCAGGATTTGGGGGGGCTTCTTTGTGATTTTCTTCACTTCTTCTTAAGAGCTACACGTGCTCCATGAATTACATCTTCTCACACACAAAAATCCAAAGAAAGGAAAGGGACATTTCTTGGGAGAACAAAAAAGGTTATCTTTTCTGTAATTTTTGGATTTTAATTTATGTTACATTTATTAGAAGCAATCCCTGTACGATACCTTGGCCAACCATTTATAAGTATGGGCAAGGTTTCCTCTTCCTTGAGCCTATCACCATATGATTCCTTTTTTGAAAATTGGTATAAATTCAAGAGTTGCTGGAAGAGGAATCAGATGTGTCTTTCGTAATATTTGATGGAAACATTTTAGAAGCAACAATAGCTTAATTTTAGGGAGAGGGATTTTAAAATGAAGTGAGTCCGAAGGCTAGGTGAAGAGTATTATGAGCTTGAAAAGATGGACAGGCACCCCTGAAGGGAAAATCTTGGGCTCATCGAAGAAATATGAGAAGAGGTGCTCATATCAGGAATCCACACAGATTTTCTTTTATTCATTATGAAACGAAGCAGTGTGGTAGCAAGAGATTGTCTTAGAGTTACAAAAGTTAAGGATACAGCTTTCTCAGCTGCTTGTGGTTTCCAAGGAATCTGTTCATGGGATATGTCTGTGTTACTTCAGGAGTTCTTGAATTCTGTTTAGTTTTAGGTTCTCAAGGTTTGGGGCCCTGGGTCTGTAAAGTGGACTTTCCTATTTGATTGTCAGACTGTTACAGAGGTGATTGCTAACAAATAGCAGGATTCTGCAGTGAGGGAAGTGAAGGAACAGCAGACGTGCAGAAGAGGTACTCTTTTCTAGCTTCAGCTCGTACCTTACATTTTTGGAGAGGTGCTGTGTAAATTATAACATTTCCTTTCTAGGATGGAGAAGTATCAGCCATGAAACATTTTTATTAGGCAATGTTCCCTTCGCTGCCTCTATCATTTTCAAAGGTCTCATTCTGACATTTCCCCTTCCTTTGCTTTTGCATGTGTAATAGAACTGGGAAGTGGCAGCGTGCTCAGGGCATAACTCCACATATCATGCAGATTCTCCCCTCTCCGCTAGGTGATAAAACATCAAGTGAATATTGTATTAGTGTGGCAGCTCTTGCATAAGTATAAGATGTAATTTTTATTAAAAGGCAAGTATATTGTAAAAAACATTGCATTATTTATAGGCCATCGGCATAACTTTTCTCTTCCCTGCCTATAGGTTGATGAGAAGGCTCTGAAGCACATAACCGAAATGGGCTTCAGTAAGGAAGCATCGAGGCAAGCTCTCATGGATAATGGCAACAACTTAGAGGCCGCATTGAATGTGCTTCTCAATAGCAATAAACAGAAACCTGTTACGGGTCCGCCTCTGAGAGGTATCTTACATTAAGCAGCGTGTCTCTATTGCTTGGTTTTCGGAGGAGTATATGTTACGGGCCGATGTTGGAAATTATTCGTGGGCGGGCTGTCACGTTATTTAACATGGTGTTAAGTGGAAGAATCACTTGTTTGGGAACCACAGAGACTTGTGCAAGTTACTCTAAGACTCAGTGTCGTCACCTTTTTGTAAAGTGGCTCTAATAATGACGGACTTCATAGGATTGTGGTGGAGATTTGAGGAATTATAGAGGAACGAGCTCTGTTAACTACCGGTAAAAGTATGCCACTTGTATAAATATCTGAACCTTCAGTAAACAAGCGAAAATTAACAAGAGCATGACTTTACGTGTATTTGTGAAAGTACCTTACCCATTGATTGGTCATAGGTAGTGTGTGTATGTTTGTGCGCTTTAAAGTTCCAGTTGCATATTTTCTTAAAAAACAAAATAAAACAACAATTACAGAAAATGTTTGTAAGGATGGATTGTTTTTTCCTTTAAATCAATTTATATGAATACATTTAATTTTCTGGATACATCACTTAGAAGATTGAAAGTGCTGTAGTATAATCATTTAGACATCTTTTTATAGTGAATGATCTGGTCTGATATGTGCATATATAAAATCTATGGAAGGTGACTGCTGATTGTACTTCGGTGTATTTTCTCCCTTTGTTCTGACGTACACAATACATATGTCTTGCTCTAAAATCTACAGGGAGAGGAAAAGGCAGGGGCCGAATAAGAGCTGAGGATGATGAAGACCTGGGGAATGCAAGGCCATCCGCACCGAGCACGTTATTTGATTTCTTAGAGTCTAAGATGGGAACTTTGAACATAGAAGGTAGGTTAACTTAAAGTAGATTTTTTTCTTAAGATCAAACTTTGTTTGGAATTAAACAACGAAATATGTTTTACTAGGCCATCTGCCAACCTGACTCTATGTTGTGGGTGTTTGTTTATAAATCTATTGCACAAATACAAAAGAAAAAATTAGTGGTTAAATTCTAAGGACCTTAATGATAGCTTATCCTATTCTCTGCTGGATAGATAATATAACCAAACTATGTTTCTCAGCTTTACTTTGCCTAAAACTACCCTTGAAAACCTTAAAAGTGAACTTATTTTGAAACTCAAAGTCTTATCTGTTCTTTCTTTACAGATTATGTATTATATGAAAATGTTGCATAGTGAGTGGATATGCCCTCAATTTCTTTGTAGTATATTTAGGGAAAGCATCAATACTGTGTTAACGATACATATATATTTTTTCTAAGTGAATTGTTGTTGTTGGTACCATCGAGTCTATTCTGACTCATAACAATCCGTGGTACAACAGAATGAAACACTGCTAGTTTCTGCGCCATTTTCACAATTGTTGTTGTGTTTGAACCCAGTGTTACAGCCACTGTGACAGGCCATCTTTTGGGGTCTTTACCAAGTGAGATGGCCTCTTGCAGTGGTTGGTCTCTTCTGATACCTGTCTACAATATGTGAGATGAATCTCCCCTCTCTGCGTCTCGGGTGCATTTTCATTGTGCTTCCTCCAAGTCAGACGTGTTTGTCCTTCTGATAGTCTATGGCGGGGGTCGGCAACTTTTGGAAAGGAAGAGCCAATCCTGTCACTCAGAGCAATCTAAAAATTATTTGATAAGCATGAACATATTATTACAAAGAAATGAAATCACCATTATCTTAATAATATCCTTTAAATGAAGCTATAATTGCTTCATTTTCAGTTTTACTTTAGAGCCACATGTGCATACTGTAAGAGGCATGTGGGTCTATGGTTCGCAAGCCAACTTCACCAACCTCGAGTCTGGTCTAGTCAGGGGTGTCAAACTCAATGAAAACGCAGGCCATTTGTTGCAACAGGCAAGATTCACGCAGGCCACATCACATTTACAAATTTTGTTAAATTTATATTTTGAAGTGAGGATTCAGGAATATGGATAGGATAATTAAAACACTATATAATTGCTTTTATTTAAACAATAATTTTATTTAATGTATTTATAAAACTAAAATTACCTTGGGGGCCGCGTGCGGCCTGCAGGCCGCCATGTGACACCCTGGGGTAGTTCATATTCTTCACCAGCACCACAAATCAGTTCTTTTTCAGTTGTTTTAACACTGTAAAGAGTTCCTCTGCAGTCGATTTACCCTATGCAATTTCTAAGCATAGAATATAAATATACCCTAAAATGGCAAGTTATTTTTTACATGATTTCAAATGACTATGTAAATATCATTTTACATTCAGTTTCTCTTTTAGATTTAGATCAAATAAACTCAGCGGCAAAATGCTTTTATAACAAATTTGAGGTGTCCACATTTCATGAAAATTGAAACTTGTTTTGTGGATCATTAAAAAAAACCACTGGTGCTCACTTCGGCAGCACATATACTTAAAAAAAAAAATTTGGAACCATACAAAGAAGGTTAGCATGGCCCCTGCGCAAGGATGGCACGCAAATTCATGAAGCGGTCCATAAAAAACAAACCAAAAAAATCCACTGTATTTCAGAAAACAAATGTTTGAGGTAGATGAGATTTGTAGAAAGTGACGTGAGCACGATTATATTTCCTGGTTGTAAAGCATGATGTATTCTTTGTGTTGCTGTGTAGCCCAGTTACCACAAATCTAGTAGCTTAAACAGTGAAAATCGACCGTCTCACGAGTGGGCCCTCTTTTGGAGAACTGAGCTGGATAGGTCAGGCCTACTCAACAAAGTCTCCCTTTTGATTATGATAAAGCTAACTGATTAATTACATCTGCAGAGGTGCTTCACATTTTCCACATCATGCAGCCTGATCATTGGCGTGATGTCCTACATGCACCATGTAACCAGGAAGCAGGAAGATTGGGAGCCATCATAGAATTCTGGGTGCCCTGCATGAAAACTTGCTTCTCTGTATGTCTGTATATGTATTTGCTAAACCAAACTGTGAATTGAGTGGAAGATCTCATATGAGCATTCTCATATTCTTCTTTTTTACTTTTTAGTGCATCGCTTGGTCTGCATCACGATTCCTAGAGTTGTTGCTCTGTGTCATAACCTCAATTTTACTTTACCAGAAAAATGAGAAAATGCAGGGCTGTAACATTTTCTCTTGAGATTCGTTTGTGTGTGCCCATCATTCTACCCTTCCTATTTTGCTACCCTCTTCTTTCCTCCTTACGGGGTGTGAACGGTTCCAGAATGAGTATGAGACAGCTTATTGTTTATTCTTCACTTACAGTGGCTTTCCGAATGGCTTCTCACTTTTGTATTCACTTAAGGCATGTTTATTAACTTTTACATGAGGGTAAGTTAAAAACTATTATTACTAGCATTCCAGTTTACACATGCATGGGTTTATTTCAGACAAAACATGTTTAAACATGATTGGTGGACTGGGACTCGGTGACTTTTGCCAAAGTCACATGACTATGAGGTGGGAGAACTAATTTATTTGGTTTTCAGCTAATATCCTTTTTGGGAGATCAGAGACAGCTTTTTATAAGCTTCCATTTCCTCTGTTGTGCAGTCTCTTTTCTGTGATTATCCGAGCTCAGTCTAACGCTACACCAGAGCACTTTCATGCAAACCTGCCCAGAACAGTGCACCCTTAGCAAAACTTAGATGACGGTGCGAAACAGGTAGCAAGTAAAAACGTGCAGTTGTTCTAGTGTCTGTGCTTTGGGGGAATTTCATCTTCCTTTTAGCAAATATTTACCGAGTGCCCTCTGTTTGCCTGATTCTGTAGTAAATAGACCAAACAGAATCCACAAACAAACCCATTGCCATTGACTTGGATTTCTGGGAGCCAGTGTGTTACAGAGTAGGACGGCTGCTGAAGACTCTCCTTGCTGTGATTTCACTGGCGCTGATCCCTGGCCTGTCCTCCACATGCCCGGGGCGGCTTCAGACCACCAGTCTTTAGGTTAATAGCTGAGTGTCAGTGGTTCGCAACATCCAGGGACCTTTTAGAGTTAACTAGGTGGGGAATGAGACAATGCTGAGGAAGACTCAGACCCTACCCCTCATTTGTCATAATATTTCAAGTAATTCTGTTTTACAGACACAGCATGATGTATGTATGGATTGTGATAAGAGTTGTATGAGCCCCTAATAAAATGATTTAAAAAAAAGATGAAAGATATGCCAAATTGTGTACCACAATAACTAGTGATTCTGACTTACCTGACTAACCTAAAAGTAAAACAAAACATATTGCAGCCCGTTAGCTATAGCATGATTTCCTTTTTCTGTTGTGGCAATGTGCATAGATATGTGTGTATAAATTATATAAAACATAGGAATACCCTGAAAGTGTTCATTGTGACTAGCCCTGGGATAGGAAGGAGAGAACTTTCATCCAGTACATTAATTTTTGTCTGTGTTCTTTATTTTTCAGAAGTCTGAAACAAAACATTCTGGTAGTATGGAGGAAAGTTTACAGAGCAAATACGTGTTCTATTCCATAGTTTGTACATGTTTTAGTCTGAAGAGCATAAAGGGGGGCAACATTCCACGAGCTTCACAGGCATAACTAGATACCGTGAAGGACCAGTCTCAGGCCGCCGAGGTCTGTTGACATCGCCGTTCACTTCTGCATTCTACTGTGTTGAAGAGCTACTGGGGTCTTACAAGCTTATGAGTGGCCAGCTAAAATTTAGCTATTCATTATATATTTTTAATAGAAAAAATTAAATGGTATATGTGAGAAATTTTATTATCTCAGTAATGATCAGAATATATTTCAAGAAAGTCTCTGTAAAGCAATATTAGAATATGATTCTAATTGTTTTTATACTGTCTTACCAAAAATCCTAAACCCACTGCCTCAAGTCGATTTTGATTCATTGCAACCCTATATAGATTTTCTGAGGCTGCCAGTGTTTCTAGAAGCAGACGGCCTCAGTTTGCTCCTGCAGAGCGGCTGGTGAGTTTGAACCACTGAACTTGCCATTAGCAGCCCAACACTCCCCGACAGGGAGACCGTGGCTCCTTTTACATACCTTACTGATATATAAATTTTATTTAAAATTTGATGATGAAGAGATTTTTATTAAAGCATTCCTTTTTCCTTTCAGCAAGGAAACAAAAGAACACAACTTAAAATAAAGATCCTGAGGATGAGAATTGGTAGTGGTAGGAGAATACCTTATCATCCAAGTATTAGTTTATTCCGATGACATTAATGCACTGTGGTTGTCTTCTATATAATTGTAACTATTACAGTGACAGCTAACTTCTTGAGTGTGTAATAAAGCTATAGATACACACACATTTTCAGTGGATCCTATTGGGTCGGAGCATAACTAGACAGATGAGGTTTGTCTAGGACTGCAGAAAGAATTCAGAGTGGCAATGTGAACTGAGTACCAGGCCATCTGGCTCCAGAGGTTGTGCCCTCTACACTGTTCTGTCTCCAAATGCCAGTTGTGAGCTTCTGAACACCAATTTCCTCTTTAATGGTGCTGTTACTTTTTTCCCAGCATTAATGAAAGAGCCTTGATTTTAGGTCTTACTCCATTGGTCCTTTGTATGAAAGAGCCTTTGTAATATTGGCATCTCACTATAAATGAACAGATGCAAGTAATAAAATTAAAGTTAGCATGTGTTTTTGCTACATTCTGTTTTGTTTCTCTGGGCAGGCAGCTTCCTATCCTAGAAAAGTCACAGGATTTGGCTTCATTTAAAGTTGAGTTTCAGTTGAGTTTAAATCCTAGTTTCAACATTTCTCCCTGCAAACCTTAGTTAATACGTCTTACATTGTTTCTTCCTTTGTTAAATAGGGATAATAATACTGCCCTTCGGGTTAGTTGTGAGAATTATATGGAGTAATATAGGCAAG